CTGTCTCTTTGCCTGTCTCTCTGCCTGCTGTCTCTCTTCCTGTGCCTCTGTCTGTCTCTTTGCCTCCCTCTCTGCCTGTCCCTCTGCTTGCTGTCTCTCTTCCTGTGTCTCTGTCTGTCTCTGCGCCTGACTCTGTGCCTGTTTCTCTGCCTCCTGTCTCTCTGCCTGTCCCTCTGCCTGCTGTCTCTCTTCCTGTATCTCTGTCTGTCTCTTTGCCTCTCTCTCTGCCTGTCCCTCTGCCTGCTGTGTCTGTTCCTGTATATCTGCGAGCCTCTTTGCCTGTCTCTTGCGGTCTCTTTGCCTGTCTCTCTGCCTGCTGTCTCTCTTCCTGTGTCTCTGTCTGTCTCTTCGCCTCCCTCTCTGCCTGTCCCTCTGCTTGCTATCTCTCTTGCTGTATCTCTGCCTGCTTTCTCTCTTCCTCTTCCTCTGCCTCTGTCTGTCTCTTTGCCTCCCTTTCTGCCTGTCCCTCTGCTTGCTGTCTCTCTTCCTGTGTCTCTGTCTGTCTGTTTGCCTGTCTGTCTGCCTCCTGTCTCTCTTCCTGTCTCTCTGCCTGTCCCTCTGCTTGCTGTCTCTCTTCCTGTGCCTCTCTGCCTTCTGTCTTTCTTCCTGTCTCTCTGACTGACTCTCTGCCTGTTTCTGTGTCCTGTCTATACCTGTCTCTCTGCCTGCTGTCTCTCTTCCTGTGTCTCTCTGCCTGTCTCTCTGCCTGATGTCTCTCTTCCTGTGACTCTGTCTGTCTCTTTGCCTCTCTCTCTGCCTGTCCCTCTACCTGGTGTCTCTCTTCCTGTGTCTCTGTCTGTCTCTGCGCCTGACTCTGTGCCTGTTTCTCTGCCTCCTGTCTCTCTTCCCGTGTCTCTGTCCGTCTCTCTGCCTGCTGTCTCTTTTCCTGTGACTCTGTCTGTCTCTCTTCCTGTCGCTCAGCCTGTCTCAGCCTTATGTCTATGCCTATAACTCAGCCTGTCTCTCTGCCTGCCGTCTCATTTCCCGTGTCTCTCTGCCTGTCTCTCTGCCTCCTGTCTCTCTGCCTCCTGCCTCTCTTCCTGTTTCTCTGTCTGTCTCTGCGCCTGACTCTCTGCCTCCTGTCTCTCTGCCTTTCTCTCTGACTGTCTCTCTGCCTCCTGTCTCTCTTCCTGTGTCTCTGTCGTCTCTGCGCCTGACTCTCTGCCTGTCTCTCTGCCTCCTGTCTCTCTTCCTGTCTCTCTTCCTGTGTCTCTGTCGTCTCTGCGCCTGACTCTCTTCCTGTGCCTCTGTCTGTCTCTTTGCCTATCTCTCTGCCTTCTGTCTCTCTTGCTGTTTTTCTGCCTGCCTCTCTTCCTGTCTCTGAGCCTGTCTCTCTGCTTTATGTCTCTCTTGCTGTCTCTGTGCCTGTCCCTCTGCCTCCTTTGTCCCTGCCTTTCTCTCTGACTGTCTCTCTGCCTCGTGTCTCTCTTCCTATCCCTCTGCCTGTCTTTTTGCATTCTGTCTCTCTTCCTGTGTCTCTTTCTGTCTCTTTGCCTCTCTCTCTGCCTGTCCTTCTGCCTGCTGTCTCTATTCCTGTGACTCTATCAGTCTCTTGCCTTTCTCTCTGCTTGTATCTGCCTCCTGTCTCTTCCTGTATCTGCCTCCTGTCTCTGCCTGTCTCTGCGCCTGTCTCTGCGCCTGTCTCTCTGCCTCCTGTCTCTCTGCCTGCCTCTCTGCCAGTCTCTCTGCCAGTCTCTCTCCCTGACTCTCTGCGTCCTGCCTCTCTGTCTGTCTCTCTGCATCAGATCTCTTTTGCCGTCTCTCTGCCTGTCTCTGCCTCCTGTCTATTCCGGTATCTCAGCCTGTCTCTCTGCCTACTGTCTCTCTTCCTGTGTCTCTCTGCCTGTCTCTACGTGTCTCTCAGCCTGTCTCTCATCCTGTCTCTCTTCCTGTCTCTCTGTCTGTCTCATTGCCTGTCTCTCTGCCTGCTGTCTCTCTTCCTGTATCCCTCTGTGTCTTTGCCTATCTTTCATCCTGTCTGGAGGGGTTCTGATTGCAGTAAACTCTTACTTTACGTCGGAACTTTTCATAGTCCAGGTCTCACAAGAGACGAGCAGCATTTGTCTGCCTTAAAAACTGTTTCTTCCTAGCTATCATGCTTCCAAGAATTGTCACAAAAGGTAATCGCCTCCAAAAACTATCAGTAAATGCGGTGCGGTCACCTATACTCATAGCAGAACTCGACAATCTTTTCGAACTTACGAAGTTCCAAGACGATCTGGGATTGACTTTATGTTCCTTCTCATCGTCAGAAATGTACTGATTATATAAAAATTTACCCTAAGAGATAAACTCGCTCTTATGCCGCACATACCTCACGCAGTCAACAAGATCCTGCCGTATGGACTTATTATGAAGATTTATATATCTAACTAGACCCTTCGTATACAAAGGTAGCCCAAGGTAGCATGGTACCTCTCTTGGAAGCATTACTTTCAATCATTTTACTAACTGTATTTAGGAAAAATGCAGTAAGAATCGTCAGCCACAGGATGCGAGAGAACGGATTCCCACTTTAAGGTTGTAATTTCATTCTAAATAGCACTCAGACGAAAATCTGCGAAATAGTATTCAGAATAGCGTTCCGCCGAGGGCGAATTGTGTTAAAAATATCGCACAAAATTCATAATTTCTGCATTTGAAAACCTTATATTTACCAGACGGTAAACTAAAACAAGGTTCTTTACAACGAATTCTAATATACTTAAGATGTGTACAAAAACGAGCCGCTACCTCTGAAAAAGGCAATAAAAAATACCAGTTTTTTTAATTCTTAAAAAAAGGTCCTGCCATTAAAAAAAAAATATAATTCATTAACAATAAATTGTAATGCCCCTATCTATTCTATCAGAAAAAGTCGGTTGGGTTTGTTTATTCTCTACATTAAATATAAGACGGTTTATCTGTTTAACATTGTTTTTTTTTTTATTAAGGTATACTTTTTAATCTAATTCGCATACATACATTTAATCATTAATTTTAGTTGAATTTTCTTACACGTACACTTCTTATTTATGTATTTATAAATATATATATATGTAAAATGTTTTTGAACCTAGGAATTTTTGTAACATTTGTTTATGTAAAGATTGTTAACCCACTATCTAGACCCCAGCATTAACATAGAACCATTTTATTAAACAATGAATAAATATTGTTTCAATGAAATTGAAGAAATATCCGCGAATAGTAAGTAGTTTATTTTAAAATGAAATGCACTCATTAAATATTTAATTTAAAAAAAAATTAAAATTCAAGGAATATTCAAATTCTCTAAGAAAAAATTTAAACAATTTAATAAAATATAAATATAAATATGTCCATATACATATACCAAATATACAATTCAATAGTAAAATGTATATTTTATGCCTAAAAATCATCAGAATAAAATTTAAATAATTTGTTGGTTCTAATATTTGTAAAAATTTTTTGAGTAAAAATGTACATTAATTATACATTTCTGATTGTGTATTCAGGTTTTTACATTTGTGTAAAAAAACAAAGAGGGATTTTACAACTAGATACGGTAATTTATCACTATATTCTTAGCAGTATTGACTCGAATAAAAACGATATTGACCTCATAAATTTAAACTAACAGAAACGTACATAGTAAAGAAAAATTTTAAAATTCTATTCAATAAATTAAACTTTAAATATTGCAATATCGTTTCAATGTGATTACATTTGTACAATAAGCAATTCAAAGTAAAACACAGAACATTGGAAGCATTGGATAAATCAATTTTGATTAGTATTACTATTCAAACTCACTAAGGATCAGTGTATATGCATAATTTAAACACCTATTTCCAAATGAATATCCACGATTACATTTAAGCTCGCAAAACATAGAAACTGTTTATTCTTCCGTTTCATTTATGTAACTTAAATTACATTTTATCATATATAAATTAAGGACTAATATATGCAGTTCGTTTCAAATCGATATTTTCCATTTCCTCTTAACCGCATACACAAGAATGAATGCATAGTCGAACATATATAATATGTGTTAAACAGTCTTTTTTTAATTGGCAATGGCTATACACATTGTTTCGATTAGATAAATTAAAATATGTATATGTATATATGTACATATATATATATATGGGCATACATATTTATATGTACAGAATATCGTATTATAATGAGCATTATCTCTATTTATATGCACCATCACCCTATACTTATACAGATGCTATATATAAACATGCCTTATCAGTATCAGCATTCTGAATATTGCAAATCTGCTGCCCACACACTTACATACATGTGTATAAATTCGTATCTTAGAGCCCTACATGCCTAAATCTGCAGTTTGTTGTATCACAGCTCAGTATGTAATTGTAATTTGCTGTCCTGTTATATTTATCTGCATCTAAATTAAAATATATGAGGAATCTATTTATCGTATTATAAAAGCGTTTGATGAAAAACTCAAATTATTATTTTAAGCAGTAAGAAATTCGAAAATATTGAAATGTTATGTAACACAAAAATATTATTTGTTTGGTAACTAGTCCCTCATTTGAAATTGTAGTCATCTTTTACATATTTTTATCAAAACAGATCCTTTTTAATGCTCAATAACGTAAATTAAACTAGATTTTTTGAAAACTCTAGTTCCCCACCATTCAAATTTACGAGTCTAGGCAGATGAATTTTTGATAAAAGGTTTGGTTCATACTCTTCCACCTGTCAATTGTGGAGTGTCAATGGAATTATATGCACTCTGGATTTAGGCATGGCTCTAGTATGAATACTCGTCCATACATATGTACATACATTTGTAAGTTTTTTAGGGAGTATATTAAGATCCATTTGCAACATTGTCGATTCGGACTACAAATATCTTATAGCTATACGAGTGTGTATGTATATAAACATGAATTTCGAAATACTCAATATTGATTAAAGATAATAGACTTCTACATTGATATCTGACTATTAAGTACATTTAAATATTTATACACACATATGTAGGTTTGTATTTATCAGGGCTCGTAACTTTTACAGTAAATTCCATAAAGTTATCGCACAAATTCTCGACTGAGCCAACAAAAATAATACATAGTCGCACACTGTAAGAAAGATTATATTGGCACATGGTATAAAAAATTAATTGTATGTCATTCATGTGCTAAGCACTATTTCTAATATATCTACAATATATGTGTATAGGTGTATAAATTACGAGCCCGGGTTTACGCACTTCATAAAAAATTGATTACGGACATATGTATGCATGTAATTACAAGAACAGAGGTTGAACTGAATAAAGACTAGTATAAATATACTCGTATGTATGTTTAATAGCTTTCAAATATGAATTTATAAATACATGTACATACATATACATATATACAGGTAAATGGTATTTATTTCGCCGGCATTTACTCTTTATGGAAAGGTAGCTATCAGGTCTTATGGTCAATAAATTCGTAAACATTGTCAGTATTTGTATGTAAGCAATTCATATATTTACACGCTTTTCTATTTTCTGCTCATCTACATATTTGAGATACATATGTACATACAGCATACAAAAAATAATTGCGGTTTTGAACAACAAATGCTTTTCGCATTAAATCGAATTTTGTCAAAAGAAATCGTTAACTATGTTATTGTGCTCCGGTAATAAATATTAACATAAAAATAATAGTTGATGTGTGTGCCGACATTTTCACAAACCTTTATGTATTTGCGTAAAAATTCATACGTTGAAACAAAGTTAAACGTTAATTCCAAAATAAAGCGCCAAGAAAAAAATTAAAACGATGTCGTATATTGTACAGCATATGTATCTATTTAAATGTACATACATAATGGTATAAATATTTTCATATTTATTTCAACGTACGTATATACATATGTATAGTTTAGATGAATTCCACTTTCTGCGGATATGTAGGTGTGTAACATAAGTAAGTAACGTAAGATATGTAAGTAACGTAAGATATGTACTTATATACATGCAGATGTGTAAATGTACTTAGTTACATACATAAGCACGTTTACTTAATCTATTTGGCGTTCCCTAGCATGAGTTTTGATCCATTTGTGTTGTCTCTAGAGAAATGATCCTGTTTGACTTCTTACATTATTTATACTCAATGACAACAGATTGTAGTTTCAATTATTACAAAAATGCAAATATACATATTTATGTATATATATGTATTTATTATTCAAATTTTGGCACTTGTCTATTATGGCCACATGTTTCTAAAGATGGCGATGGAATGGCGATAATAATAGTTATTGCACGTTCAATTATTTAATCTGCTTCTCACACAACACTGAAAATTGAGAGAATAAAGAGAAAGCCGGCGAAGTTTTTTAATAGACTAGCATTTTGCTATGATACGCTAATGGCTCCAGTTTCGGAAGGACCAGCACTTGACGTGGGATTATTTGCGTTCGTTGGAGGATCTGAGGGAGTATGAAGCTTGACGTTGTTTACTGAATGGGGATCTTCGGGTAATAGCGTTGACTCGATATTGCTGGCAGCCACTAAATGGTGGGTCAACTGTTGGTGAAAATGTTGGCTGAAGCTGCTATTAAATAGCGAGTGGTGGGGGTAGAGCGGAGTAGCATGGTGAATAATGGATGTTGGAGCCAAAGCGGAAATTGCCTGAGAATCAGAGATTTCACTGGAGCAAACATTCTGATCTTCACTTCGCTTAGTTAACTGATTGATGCTGAGCGGATTATTTATGTCCCGTGGATTAGCACCAATTGGGTTTCGGGCTATGTTTGACGGCGCTGGTGCCTTAGATGGTGCAATAGAACCGTTAAAACCATTAAAGCCATTTGCTGAACTCTTATTTTTACTGACTGTTGGCTGTGGCTGGAATGGCGCATCAATTTTTCTGCAAACGGAACTACCTATCGTATGACTAAGGCCCATCCCTAGGTGACTAAAACGATTTCCTAGCATCATAGCTCGCTCATGAGCTGAACTTGAAGATGGACCAGTCGTACCTGTTACAGGCGATACAGTATTTGAGGTATTCGGAGTAGTGCTTATGCTACATGTTGACCCACTACTCGATCCTGATGCAGAAACAGATTCCGATCTCGGATGACTGGCTACCTGTTCTGCATTAACTACCATCAGCGCATTAGAGCTGGCAGCTAATAGAGACGGTGTTGCTGGATTTATATTCATATTAAGTGGGCTCGCCAAGCTTGTCGTTGTAGACGGGCTTTGCAAACTAGACAACCCGCTTAAGCAGCCAGGGCTGGATATTGACTGATTCAGAGACTCTGTATCATCATCTGGAATTTTATTGCTTTCATCATTGCTGCCACAGCTACCGACTAACTGATCTTCGTCATCATCATCATCTTCGTCATCGCTTAGCTGGCTTCCGAGGTCATCAATGCCGCTTCCATCTTCAATGGCGCTGATTCCGTTTATAGCCTCCATGTAGCGTATGCATTTTTTTTTGCGTCTACATGAAAAAAAAATTGTAAATTACATAAGTTACATATTTATAATGTTAATAGTATGTAAGGTGCTCATTTGAAATCATTCCAAACAAAATGTACATAATCATTTTAGGATTCATGCAGCAACGGAACCCTATAATTCAAGCTTAATATTAAGTTTTATTCTCATTAGGAGAGCGTGCAAGTCGCGTCTCTAGCAAAGAAGGTTGCAAATCACAATAGAAATTTTAAATATTTAAAAAGGCAAACAAGTTAGGCTACATTTTTAACATAGATCATCATATTTCATTATTTACACATATTTCTTTCCAATATAAAAATAAGAGCTATAAAACATATTATGTAACAATGTAAGATGGTCGGATGCTCCGACCATAGATAAACTTTAAAATTTTAGTCAAAACGTAAATAGGTCTCTAATTAAAATAGAGCGTTGAGATTCTGCTGCTCCTACAATTGTACATTTCATCATGAAGAAATCTATAAAATATACACAAACACAAAATATACACAAAAATATGCAAAAAACGATGATTTTTGTGCGTTCTTTTTTACGAAATTCGTACATTAACAACTCGGGAAAAGTAGAAAAAAAATTATATCCTGGGTTTTTTTATTTTTTGTTTATATGTACAGGTGTAAGGTATCATTCATTAAAATGAATGGAGAGTCGGCAAAGCCGAAGGTCATGGAGCAGAGCTTCTCGGTGTATAAAACATACAATTTAAAAAAATAGTAGAAGAGTTTTATTTTGAATTGCAGTACAAGAGAGCTGAATCTACTAGGCAGAGATATCATTTTTTGTAGTACCAAGGTCGTGTGTAGATTATATCCAAATTAATGTCTTAACATTGATGACTATCAGAAACTTTTCACAAACACGTATTCAACGTTATTATTTAAGTTGGGAGGTGTGATCTTCGAACAAGCAATATAATCCTATCCCATGTGTGGACTTTTATTAATATACATAAGTGACCATATGGCTCAGGGAAGAGTAGTAACCAGGATATTTGAGAAAAATCGATTAAAAAAATCATGGGTTTAAGTTGCCTTGACAGCAGTAAGGATTTGATCAAAATCTGCTGATCTTTAACAATTGTATCAATCTTTTACATTCACATGTACGGAGACTGCAGACTACATTTACAATTTTAACAGAATTTCATTTTCATAATTTATTATCAACTAGCACACAAAATAGGGCAACAAAATCGTTGAATAAAAAAAAGCGTGGTTTACAATAAAAAAATAAATTTCTTATATATATATATATTTTTAATTTGAAAGAAGTATAGTTTTTTTTAAATAAATATTTGGTATAAATAGTATTGTTATAAAAAGGAGCAAAACAACAAAGTAACACATATAACTGGAAAGCTTCATTGAAACAGAATAAATTTCTCAACATAAAATTTCGCTAACAAACAGAAAACTCAACGGTAACACATAAATAAGTTCAACGTCATACAAAATTGTACCATAGGCATATTTTAAACATCGAATCGAACGAACAACAATATACACCTAAATCAAAACGCATATCAGGGTTTGACAAATGCATATTATATGACTCACATGACACATCTAACATGGAAATAAAAATAAAATGGATAAATATCCAAGTTCAGGAATATTTAAGGCACCACTAAATTTTTCAACAATCTGACATTATTTTGAACATTAAGTCATCTCGACTTATTGGATTTAATATACGACAGTGTTATCAAATTCCAAACAATATTTATATTTGATTATCTAACATCGTATGATTACGTGAACAGACGATTAATCTTTTATATTCAAAGCGGATGACAAAATAATGCATTCTATCGAGAATACAAATATATACATTCAATCGATAAAATAAAATAAGCTTTCTTAATGACATGCATTTTAGTAAGTATTTAGAAAAATGAAATATGCAAAACACTTACAAATATGCGAACCACTCCCTTGTGATAACATTTACTTTAAACACTAGCTAATTTTCAAACCCTGATATACATTTTTTTTATATTTTATTTATTTTTATTTACTGGTATCTGCGCAGGTGTGATTTTATGCTGGCTCATCGGCTGTAAAGGTAATTGTTATCCTGGGTTGACTGATGTTTTCGATTCGTCTCGGCACTAAAATGTACACTTCTACAAATTTACATATGTTGGTGGTGCTTGCGGGGAAAGCTGCTGCGAACCAGCGCTAGCTACGCCACCCCCACTTCCGGAGCTGGCTGATATACCATTTAACGGTGCTAATCCATTTCCATTACTGTTAGCCATCATTTGTGCATGTGTATGAGAAGACGAGGTGGATGATGATGAGGAGGACGAAGATGACGAATTCGGCAGCATTACAGTACCCCCTATGCCACTTACAAGAGGTGCCAGCATGCCAACACTTATGCTGCTGACTGCAGCACCACTGCCGATGCCAACGCTGCCGCCACTGTTGCTTGCAGTTGAAATGACACCCAAACCGGGACTGAATTTTCGGTAAAGTCGGGGTCAATGTAAATGTCCGAAATTGATATGAATAACCGTCAGCATTAAGAAGAGAAAAGGGGTAATTAAAAACATCAAAATCATTTTATCATCTATTATATTTCATTTTATCAGTATGTATGTGTTGTGTATTTTTTTTTGTAATAAAACAAAAAACAAAAAAATAATGTACAACGAGAAAGGACGTGTGAGACGCTTCTTACGCGTCACAACCTTTTTAAACGGCACTCAGTACTACACCTGCACCTTAGCGGTGTTTTGTCAAATTTTACATTTTTTTTCAACTGTCTACATCTACAACACTTCCCACACCAACACGCTCCTTTAGCTCGCCGCCCTTCCCTAGACCAACACTGCAGACTCGAGGCAGAGGCAGAGGCACCGTTCGCACACAAAACAGACGAGAAGGGACGTGTGAGACGCTTCTTACGCGTCACAACTTTTATACCCGGCTCAGGACTACATCTAGATGTAGAAGACATCGCCAACAACTAGATATCGTTCACATTACAGAACACGTAGTAAAAGCCTACTAAATAAAATGCATCAAACAAATTGGATCAGTTCATATTTTCCAATTTATGAGATATTTAAAAGAGCAATAAAATGGTACATTCTTGGACCGATAGGTTTCACAGCAAATTTTTCGAAAATGGCGCCATCTAGCGTTAAAAACCGAGTCTTGGTTAAAAGTCGGAAGAGTCATCGGCAGGGGGAGGGAAGAGGCAGGGGCCGAGTGAAGCAGAAGCAGAGTGTGAATGAGAGAATGTAAATGGAGCAACAAAAGCTGCGGGACAGGGTGGGTTTAGCCACTGGAAATTAATTTCTCCATTGTGGCTATAATAATGATCCGATCGGATCCCAATTTGGTGATCTGATAGATATGACCATTAGTTTTCTTTTATCTTCAAAACTGTAGATTTGAGAGGTTTTCGCCCTTTTGCGGGGCGGAAGGGGGCGTGGCTCATTTTTTAAATACACTGGTTTCAGTGTGAGCATATAGCAGTCTGGATGCAAAATTTGGTGGCTCTAGCTCTTATAGTCTCTGAGAAACTCCGACAAACAAGACGGACAGACGGGCAGACAGACATGGCTCTATCGACTCGGCTATTTATGCTGATCAAGAATATATACTTTATGAGGTCGGAAACGTTTCCTTCTGTGCGTTATTCCACACAAATACAATATACCCTATTTACTCTTCGAATACCGAGTACAAAAGCAAAAAACCAAGTTTTAAAGGATTAACTTGAATTGTATTCAATAACGAGTTTCAGTTAACGAAAAAGATTGAACATAAACGTTTTACTTATACGGAAAATGAAGCTAATATTTCGAAATTCATTTTTTTCAGTCTTTGATGAATGGTATGAACTGGTATAATTAAAACAAACTAAAAATAGTATAACATTTTTAAATTAATACTTTTAGATTCCCCCAACATAAACAAATATAATTAGATTGATCTAAATTGGCACATCCTTACATAGTCTACAATTATGTATAAAAATAAATGAAAGATAAACTCAGGGTCTTGTCAGAGGTGCAGACGAGGGTAATGGTGTAAGTTAAGAGAGGGCGTTCCGTGCAATTACATTTTATCGTATGATCGTGTACAGTTTTTGTTATTGATATTAATAGTGACATGTGGTTGTGTACCTATTTTTTCATGATCAGGTATATGAACACTAAATTTAGCAAATAATGGAAATAATGGTGCATTGCTTGTATGTTTCCTTGTACATATTCCAGCCTATTAATTTATAATTCATTCATTCATATAATATTCTGACAAAACTCACGCAAGGTTTTAAACTCTCATACAATTTTGTGTTTGAAGAACATTTTCTTGATATGTAACTTCTTTCTGCTGACAACCAATAAATTATTTTTGACAAAAAAAAAGGTCCTAATTTTCGTCTCATCTAATATTTCGATAATGGATAACACTACTCCACACTTTTTCTGAAAGATATGGGGCTTAGACATGGTTTGATGATAATTTTCTTTCTATGGCAGAACTTTTTTAAAAAGAATTTTTAAGGTCTGGTATTTTTTTCTAACTGTTTTTCAGAAGTAGCGCTTCGTTTTTACCCATAACTTAAGTTTCTTACATCTGGTTATAATGAGCATAGCCATTTCTATAAAGCTGATGACATTTATAAAGTTTCCCAAAACACTTGGTGGTTTTACGGTACCGTTTCAAAAATATTAAGCTTTAAAATGTTGATGTTTGTCGGTAAGTCGGTATGTGACGAAAAATACGATTTTTTGAAGTTTTTAACGTTGGTTGAACAATTTAAGCTCAACCGTCTCTCCATAACTGTTTATACAAAAATAATGCACACATGATTTTTTGTTTACTTTTCCCGAGTTTTTAAAGTCAAAATTTCGTGAAAAATTCTTCACAAAAATCAACATTTTTGAATTTCAAAGATTAATATTTTTGAAACGGTACCCTAAAACCACAAAATGTTTGGGGAACTTTATAAATCTGCTGGACATGGTGGGTTAGCCACTGCAAATTAATTACTTCATTCTGGCTATGATAATGATCCAATCGGATCCCAATTTGGTGATCTGATAGATATGGTAATTCCCTACGGAATGGCGTTTATAGTTTTCTTTTATCTTCAAAACTGTAGGTTTGGGAGGTTTTCGCACTTTTGCGGAGACGGAAGGGGCGGTTTCAGTGTGAGCATAGAGCAGTCTGGATGCAAAATTTGGTGGCTCTAGCTCTTATAGTCTCTGAAAACTAGCCGACAAACAAGACGGACAGACAGACATGGCTCTATCGACTCGGTTATTGATGCTGATCAAGAATATATATACTTTATGGGGTCGGAAAAGCTTCCTTCTGTGCGTTACATAAAACCGTTATTCACACAAATAAAATATTTTCTATTTACTCTTCTAGTACCGGGTATAAAAACAGAATTCCTCAAAAAAAAATGTAAGTCCATTAGAAAAGGTCGGTTTGAAAAAAGGTCGGCGAGAAAAAGTTCGATTTTGTCGAGTGGTGTAATTCATTTAACTGTCAGTAGCAAGAAGTGTATGCTTGTCCGCCTGGCATTTTTATATAAATATTGGGTATATTGTATTTGTTGGGAAAAGTGGATGTATGAAACGCACAGAAGGAAACGTTTCCGGCCCCATAAAGTATATACATATACATCAGTCTGTTCGATAGGTTATCAGGGACCATAGCTATAAACACCAAATATTGCATACAGATGGCTGTAATGTCACACTGTTACAAGTATATTTCAAAATTTCGCCAACCACCTTCCGTCGCGACAATGGTCGAAAACCTGCTGTATCCACAATTTTGAAGATAAAAAGATGCGAGAAGGGACGTGTGAGACGCTTTTTACTCGTCACAACTTTTATACCCGGCACTCAGTACTACATCTGCACCTTAGCGGTGTTTTGTCAAATTTTAAATTTTTTCTTCATCTGTCATCTACATCTACAACACTTCTCACACCAACACGCTCCGCTAGCTCGCCGCCCTTCCCTAGACCCACACACTGCAGACTCGAGGCAGAGGCAGTGGCACCGTGAGTGCCGGGTATACAAGTTGTGACGCGTAAGAAGCGTCTCACACGTCCCATCTCGTTTTAAATACCCTTGTATCAGTGTGATATCACAGCTGTCTGTAGGCAAAATTTTGTGGCTCTAGCTGTTATAGTCTTTGAGAACTAGCTGACAAACAAGAACACCTATGCACTGGTAAATAAAGCACAATTTAACCAAATATTTAAAACTAAAACTCTTGCGTGAGGCTTGGAACGTCTTTTATATACATATACCTTATATGGTGTGTGCACCCAATAAATAAATACCATTAAACGTACCTGCACGGCTTGCACCATTGATTTTGCTGGTCCAGTCCAAAACGAGCACGGCACTTTTTCATGTTATTACCTAAGAAAACCATGAAATATTTTTAGGTGGACTTTAACAAGAATTTATGATTATTTAACAGATACAGATGATTTGTTAGTGAGCCATTTATTAGTTTTTTGGTTAAATGAATTATTAAACATAAAAAATAGGATGATTTCAAGGTTCAAAAATAAAAAAAAGAAGTATAGAATAATGAAAGCACGCTTGATAGTGAGATTTTTTTGCATTGTTTTGCCGTTCTAATATAGATCTATAAAACACTTACTGATATAAAACATACAATAGCTAGTATATAAGCTATTTGTATGGATTTATTGATACATAACAATCTTAATACATGCATGAATACCTATAATACTTGAAATAACAATAAAAAAGCTTATGATTTGAAAACATAAAATCCATTTATGTTTTAGACATGCTCAAAGTATAATTATACCTTCATTGTACACAAAAAATTAGAATAAGAGCGAATGTTGAGACTTTTATCCGAAAACAACATTAGATACAATATAATTTTTATTTAATGATATGATGATATACGATTTGTACAGGTAAATTTACATATACTTTATCTGGCGAAATATTAAACCCGGTTTCGATTTAGAACCAGATTTGTATTAAATTTTGGGGTATGGTACCATTGCTAGCAGCCAAGACTAAATTTAGATTCCTGAACATTTGTAACTGAATAGTATTTTTAAAATAGAAGCCAATTGCAAAACCAGGCTCTTTACAGGAAACAAAACTTGAGTGTACATATGTATGTACATATATGTACAAGTTTTACTTATATGTACATACACATACTGACATTACTGATTTTATTTTTATTTTATAACGCAAACAAAATTTAAGATTTACATTTAAAAGATGTGCTTTCTTTAAATTGATCTGATCTGGTTTTGATTAAACTGATTTTGATATGATATATATATCGTACAATAGTTTAAGAAAATTTATCTAACCTCCGTCGTGGGCATCTTGCTTCCGCTTCCGTTTCTTGCCGCGCGAGGCGTTCGTACGAGAGCTCCAATCTGGATACATTTGCATGTGCAGTTGACGCTCACGCCGCGCCAACTCGTAATATTTCGCCTGCTCCTCACGCCCCAAGGCATGCCACTGGGTGTGGGATTAAAGCGTTGTTTCACCAAAATAATATTATGTAATAGTTGTATGCAAAAGGTATCGGGATAAGTACTTTTTATTAAATATGTTTAATCCAGTTAATCAATTTACTTTACATTAAATTATGAGAGATACATATACATATATATCGGAGTATAGATATAGTTTTCATATGTTTAAATATATATGCTCATATATATATGAATATTTGTATGTATATAATCGCATGTATTTCGTTAGATTCAATAATGATATATATATGTACATATATGTATCAATATATGTATATTTATATTATTCGCGATTCCCTAGTGAAAGAAAGGCCCCATTAATTCAAGGAGCGAGGACATGCCCAATACCATGTGCCAGAAATTTAAAAGCTTCGACTGATCGATCTTTAAGACGGTTTCGGGTGCATGCATTCGCCAATTCTGGTCGAGACGCTCAGTTGTTTAATTCTTATGCATGATTCTTCTACTAAAGAATCAATAGAAACGAAAGCTTTAAACAAAATGAAATGTTTTTATTGTTCTCCTTTCTCATAATTTGGAATACTTTGCCAATTCATTTGTTTAACTTATGGTGTTTGTGTGTTGTACATGTGTTGCTATGCTTATTTAAATCTTCATCAGAATAACCTGACTTTTGCAATGAAGTGGTTTAAAAAATGTATCATATCTTGTATAAATATTTGATAAAATCAAATAAGAGGACAATGGACAAAGTATTTTTTCCAATATAGCCATTGTTACAAACATTCTGTAGCTTGGCCAATAGAGATTTAATGATCAGGCCGATTGATAACTAAAAACTTGGCTCTACTAAACTGAGTCCAAAAATGGTTCAAATATTCAAAACTTTTGAAAAAAATGTCATTCGCGTTTTCTTTAATTTTTATTTTGATTTTAAAAGGTTAAAACATATACTATAGGATTTGGTATCTCTTCTACAAATGGCACTCAGTCTCCAATGTCTATAAAATTGCATTAACAAATTTGTTGATGTATTGTTTAGGTTCTTTTTAAATTTATCTAGGCTCGTCTAAAATTACCTTCAAAGCTACTAAAGCAAAGTTGTACATTTGCCAAGTGGTCATTTTTATCCTTCTTTACATACTGGTAGGTTACGGAACTTTACGAACGTTAAATATAATCTAAGTATTTACACAAATTACATAGATAAAGGTAAGTTTTTAAGTTACTGTTATTTCTAATTTGGGTGGGTTAGTTGTTGATGTTAGATGTGTGCTTGAGGTATTGTGTGAGTGTAAGTGATTTAATGGAATCGAAAAACATAAAAGTGAAATGCAATTAGAAGGAAATGAGTGTAACAATTTGACAATTTTGTGCAATACCTCCCGAATCCGTTGTCGATCTGTCTTTTTTACGCTTTTTCTTTTTTGACACGTAACCGTAGTTATCTCGTGCGCTCCACCCCGGATACAATTCCATATGTAATTGGCGCTCTTGCCGAGCCTTTTCGTAATATTTGCTTTGTTCTTCGCGGGAAAGTTCGTGCCACTACAAATGCATTGTTAATGAGGAATCCATTAGAAAGAATTTGTAAAAACAGGAGTGGGTATTCGCAAAAATAATAGAATTAATATAATTTATAAAAGTTTTATTTGGTTCACGATGATCTGGGCGTTCTGTTGTGTTAAAAAACTATTTTCTCGTCAGTGTGTCTCCTGTCAAACATCCCATTAAAATATTTAAAGTTATTCAATTCCTGGGCTATTGTCAATGGGATCAATTCTTTGGAAAACTATAACTGTATACACACACGATATATTTAAGATAGAATGGTGTTATTAAGTGACTTACCCGTCTCCCCAAAATTTGATTAATTGCAGCGGATTCCTTAAGAGTACATTCGGCGACTACTTTGGCTCGCATCTCCTTCATGTAAAGCATGAACGCATTCAATGGTTTCTTGATATGTGGTTTTTTTTTATCATTAGAGCTATCCTTACAGTCGGTAGATTGTGTATTCGATGAGTTTTTTGAATCCAAGTTTCTGAAAATCAAAGCATGTATAATATATAAAACAAACATCTAAAAAGTGTCTGAGGTTTTGTTAATGTTATATTAGCATTTAAAAAATTGTTATCAATTAGGCAAGTTTTGATATTTGAAAGTTTTTAATTCTCACTTTGGGAGATGCGGTAGGTGTGCAGATACCTGCAACTCAGTTTCAATGCGTATTTATTACTATAATTTATGGAACTTATGAATTTTAGTTCATTTGTTATTATTATTATTTTTATTATTATTATACTTTACAACTCGGCCTATAACATTGCTCCACACGATTTTTCATCATAGCCCACAACTCGGCTATACTACACTGCATTCGTCCTGAATGCGTCGTCGTCACAATATTCATACTCGTGCTCGTCATAGGTATTGTTTGACTTATCTCTGGTACTTCGGTTTCGACCAAGGTATTTTTATACCCGGTACTCGAAGAGTAAATAGGGTATATTGTATCTGTGGGGAAAAATGTAACACACAGAAGGAAGCATTTCCGACCCCATAAAGTATTTATATTCTTGATCTTGTCCGTTTTTGTTGAGCGCCTGAAGACTATAAAAGCTAGAGCCACCAAATCCAGATGGCTGTATGCGCTCACTGCTACAAGTGTGTTTCAAAATTTCGCCCCGCCCCCTTCCGCCCTTGCAAATCGCGAAAATCTGCGGTATCCACAGCTTTGAAGATAACGAGAAGGGACGTGTGAGACGCTTCTTACGCGTCACAACTTTTATACCCGGCACTCAGTACTACATCTGTACCTTAGCGGTTATGTCAAATTTTAAACAGACACAAAAAAAACGAGATGGGACGCGTCACAAATTTTATACCCGGCACTCAGGACTACATCTGCACCCTAGCGGTTATTTTAAATTTTTTCTTCATCTGTCATCTAATCTACAACACTTCTCACACCAACACGCTCCTTTAGCTCGCCGCCCTTCCCTAGACCCACACGCTGCACCCTTGCGGCAGAGGCAGCGCCCGTTTATTACGAATTTTTGTTCCTATTGCAGAACCTTTTTTAGAGAATTTTTCAAATCTGTTTTTTTTAATGATTTTTTAGAGGTAGTGCTTCCCTTTTCACACAACTCAAGTATCAAAAGTCGTCAGTAAGACAAAAACCGATAGCTCCGTTGAATACCTATTTTTAAAGATCACCATCAATACAAATAAGTTTCTCCTCGGCTGCATATATCGACCAAAACCAACGCATAGTAAAAGCTTGATAGCTTGGTAGATAAAGCTTGGTAGCACCAATCGAAATGACGAAATTAAATTTAAGAGATACAAGACTGAAAGCCACTTCAATATGTACAGATCCTTAAGATCAGATGTAATGACGTAACAAAGCTAACCAACTCTGCCGACCCTGTCAAAACATTCGAGACCTTGATGGCAGAGCAAATAGATTCATTTCTAACAAAGCCCACACTACTTACAACAATCAGTCCGGATTCAGAAGAAATGCCTTTATAAATCCCATTTATTTTAGCTTATCCAGCAGATCATACCAAGAAAATAAATTGCCAAAGAAAACAATGTGATTTCGATGTCTTTGGCTCCAAAGTAGGTGCAGTAGGTATCCAACTTTTACAAATAACCGCAGCTACTAGTCAGCATCCAATGAATTACAATCTGAATCTGGTGGAATCAAAGCAATGTCAAACGTTCCATGATTTAATAAATACACTTTCCAAGAAATCAAGTGTTGAAATTTTAGTCTTGCGGCTTTGATGCTTGTGATGTACAAAAAATGTAATATTCGAATACTTGGTAAAAATTTGTGACTCGTGCGATCGCGTCACCCAAAGTTCCTCCTCGTTCAGAAAATATTGGTACGAGCTATTTACGTCTGAATGCTACCTTACAGTCACGATTTTTCAGTAATTTATACATTGCGGCTTTAAACATGTTTTATGATACTTTTATGGCAACACTTTTCAGAATTTTTAAAACTTGATATTCCTACCTAAAGGTAGGGCTTTTTTTCTCATAACTTAATTATTTTATATCTGGTTGCATTGAACTTTGCTATTCTCAAAAGCAAATAAATGCATTAATAAATTGTTTGCCAATTAACTCAATTTCAATTAATTTAGATAAAACGAGTAGGGGCGCGTGAGACTCTTCTTACGCGTCACTACTTTCACTACACTACTACTCAGTAATAAACCTGTGCCTGTGCCTGTCATCTACATCAACATAACTTCTCGCGCCAACACGCTCCCCTAGAGCCACACACTGCATAAAGCAGAGTGTGGATAGAGAGAAAAAAAAATAAAAAACCTGAAAATTCATTTCTTCATTCTGGCTGTCCCTTATGGCCTTTGAGTACAAATGCAATAATACAATACAGTATAGGATTCTGCTCGGAGCTTACCAAAAATAATGATTGATGGTAATAGATATATTTGACGGAAACATAAACTTCGGCTCGCCGAGGCTATGCCATATATATGTACATATATGGCAAATATACTTATATTATATATTAGTAGAACCGTTATAGTTTATAGCATGGTAGCTTCACTGATTAAATTAATAAACTGATATAGGTTCATACCAAGAACAATACATATAATAGTAAGATGGATAACACTGCTGCATTCGATTGGCAGAATGCAAGACAATTTGGACGAGCGACGAAAAGCCAAGAAACTACCCCAGTTTTGGTCGCTTACGTAAGAGAGCATAGAAATCTAAAAATAGAATGTGTTTGCACGTGTGAGTACGCACAAGCCAAGCAAACAATTACGAGACGAATATATATTTTCGTGAACTTTATTCTTTAAAAATTATTTTTCTATTGGCTGGTTGAAAAAACTTGTTATATCCTCTGTATTCGTGGTTAATTTATTCGTAATACGTTTTACTAGAAAAATTTAATTATCAGCTACGTTCGCAAAAGAATATTATTCCCCTGCCCTAATTTCTGTACATACATTATAGACTGATCAGAAAGGTTGACAAAATCGTTTGCTGGTCACACGTACATATTAATGCTTGTATGCAAAAATTATTGACATGATACCCTGAATACCCTAATGCATTTACTCGATGGTGTATGTCATGTATGAAATATTTTACGTATATTTACAAACGTATGTATGTTGTATATCGAATTTATTCTGCAATACCAACAAATATCATTCTTATAATATATACCTTGTACATTAAAATAAGGTTTTTGGTATTGGGGGCAAACGTCTTCCGAAAGTGCCTAAGCTTATAAAGTGAAGTGGCTACCCTTCACTTTATAAGCTTAGGCACTTTCGGAAGACGTTTGCAGATCTAGAATACGTGTTCACACATAAGTACATTTGACCAGAGCCTGGAACCAGCGCTAGAGTCAGACAGAAAATTTCGTGTGCAAAAAAAGGGCGTCATCCATCTTACTATTGTATTGTCTTTTCACATACTTAAATGTTTTGTAGTACATTGTACATATTGTATTTAAAGATTTTGAAATTACATGTTTTTAAGCTTGGTTCCAATGCTTAGATCATACGGAGCATCTGGCATGGGTTCATCTGCGCGCTTGTCGATACTTGCAACTGCCGTCAAAGCACTTAGTCTTGCTTTGAACATATTAGTAAGGGCACGTTCCTGCAGAGCGGTTACGGTGGATATAGTCGAAGATGCACATTGAACAATAGGAGGAGATGGTATAGATGTTGCTCCTGTTTTTACAGCTGATATGGATGGTATGTGTAAGGTACCATCTATGACGTTATAAATACTTCCTGTTTGCTGACTGCGAGAATATTCCTTATAACAGCCTTTTAATAAAGTTGTTTTAGGAGAAGAAGTTGTCGGAGTTTCGATGCGCCGTGCGGATCTGGATTTTCTTCGACTGTTATTTAACGAACATGACACTGGAATTTTTCCAATCGAACAGCTGCTATTACTGCTTGTCGGTGGTGTAGAAGGTGCTGCAGGAAACTGAATGTCCGCAAAATAACCAGATTCGTTGATATTTGAAACAGATACAGTGTCTCTGCTATTTTTAAGCGATAAAAGTGGACTCATATTCAACGCACGATAGCTGTCAATAGAATCTAAAATATTCGCCCGGACTTCGGAACCAACAGTAGTGAAATTATCAGGAATTTGTAGAGCATTTGTTTGAGACGCGTACTCCAAAATAATTTCAGCCGCAGTGCTACAATTTTCCACTTCTTCTTTAAGTCGAGCGTCGCGATTTTTCGGATGCCATATGCAAGTGGGCGATTTTATTGATATTTCGCCTTCGTTTTCATCACTTTCACTGCAACCATTTAGTGTATTTAAGGAAAGACTTCCTTGATTTATAAGAACAGTTGAGGCCTTTTGTAGGATTATGTTCTCTATTTCATGCAGCGTTCTGGTTTTTTCTATAGGTTCACTTGTATTTACTTGTTGCTTTAAGTCGCTTGATTCATTTTTAGGATTTATTTCACTTTCTACGGACAACGCAATGGCAGCTAGGGCCATTATAGTATGTGTTGGCGTAGGACTAAAACCAGCACCATCTTCTGAACTCAGTCCCAAACGTTGCAAGCTGCGCAAATAATAGAGCTCTGCACTGTTCCATTGATGATAAAGTCGCTTTATTTGATCCAAAATATCTTCAATTGTCTTGCAGTTTTCATTTAACTGGCATCGCACAGTGGCTTCAAGGGACGAGTCGGTGGATTTATTGGAATCTTGGCAGTGACGTACACTGACGTTTTCCCGGAACTTGCCAGAAAGTAAGGTCAGTTGTTCTAAGCTTCTTCTAACATCGGCAAGCAAGATTTTGTTCCCCTGAAAGAAACTACAGGTGGATTTCAGATGATCCTTTGAGTTTTTAGCACGCTTTGAGTAATTTTCTGTATTATTTGATTTGAGAGTATCTTCTAACTCGCCAAGTTTTTGTGTACGATTGCTGTGACTTTTTTGAAGCTGGGAAAAATCTAATATAAGCTCTTCTCCAAATCTTAATCCATTTTCTAAGTCATTCAG